TTTTAATTCCTGTTCGCTTTCAGAAAGTAAGGTTGTATCATCTGCATATCACAGGTTGTTAATGAGTCTTCCTCCAATCCTGATGCCACATTTTTTCTTCATATAACCCAGCTTCTCAGATTATTTGCTCAGCATACAGATTGAATAAGTATGGTGAAAGAATACAACCCTGTTGCACACATTTCTTAATTTGAAACCATTCAGTGTACCCATGTTCTGTTTGAACAACTGCCTCTTGGTCCATATACAGATTCCTTATGAGCACAATTAAGTGTTCCGGAATACTCATAATTCACAATGTTGTACATAGCTTGTCATGACCCACACAATCGAAAGCTTTTGCTTAGTCAGTAAAACACAGGTTGTATTCTCTGCTTTCATCCAAGATCCACCGAACATTAGCAATGATATACCTCATTCCACATCCTCTTCTGAATCCACCTTGAACCTCTGGAGGTTCTCTGTCAATGTACGCTAGCAGCCATTTCTGTACTACCTTTAGTAAAACTTGCATGGGAGATCAAAGAAACTGCCCAATGGTTTCTGCATTCCACTGGGTCACCTCTTTTTGGAATGGGCACAAATATGGATCTCTTCCAATCAGTTGGCCAGCTAGTTGTTTCTTGGCATAGATGAGTGAGTGCCTCCTGCGCTGCCTCACTTTCTTGATGTTTTTGATGTTTTTGAGTTATGGTGTTTGAGGAGAATATTGAAGGGACCATGGGCTGCCAAAACCAGATCTGTTTTGGAAGAAATACAGCCAGAGTGCTCCTTGGAGGCCTGGATAGCTAGACTTCGTCTCTCATACTTTGGATATTGTCACTGGAGAAAGATAGTTTGGTAAGGTGGAGGGTCGGAGCAAAAGAGGAAGACCCCCAGCGAAATGGATTGACAAAGTGGCAGCATCAATGGGTTCAAGTATGACAACAATAGTGAGGTTGGCCCAGGATCTGTTGTACTTAGGGTCAATATGATTTGGTACCAACTTGATGTGCATCTAACAACAACAACCACATCCTTACTTTGTTTGGGTAATTTGTATTTCACTCACTTTTTTCCTTTTCAACACTGGTAAAAATTTAACTGTTACAAAACCCATTGTCATCAAATTGATTCCGACCACCTCACCAGCAGGGCTGCTATACTGTTGTTGATAAGTGCCATCAAGTCAATTCTGACTCATAGTGACCCTGTACAGGGTTTCCGAGGAACAGCTCCTGGGTTTAAACTGCTGACCTGTGTTTGCAGTCCAGTGCTTATCCTACAGCACCACACCAGGAGTCCAATACTTGTAGTGGGTTAGTAGTCTTATTAATCTTTTCACAGACCTACCTTTGGGCTTTGTTCACTTGCTCTTCTTTGTCACATTTCTGATTAAATTCCATATGTTATTGTTTCTTTTCTGGTTTAGTTTGCTGTTCATTTTCTAATTTTTAAAATTGTTGTTGTTGTTAAGTACTGTTTAGTTGGTTCTGACTCATAGTGATTCTGTATAGGATTTCCAAAGAGCAACTGGTGAACTTGAACTACTGATCTTGCGTTCAAACCGACATTGCAGTCCTGTGCATTAACCCACAGCACCAGATTAGAATATTGGTTTTCAACTATTTTAATATATGCATTTGAACTTTAACTATACATCTTTCTAAGGTGTACTCTTTGTGGGGGTCTCAAAGGATTTTACCAAGGGTTTTACCAAGGTCTCTAAATTTTTGCTGGGTTCTGCTTTCTAGCACTGACCTTTGGAATCTCAGCTTTCCAGAAAACACTTTGGTTTGGTTGTCATTTTAGAGTAATTTCTATGTTTCTTAGCAACAAATGTTAGTTGGAGAAACAAGTTATGTCGTCAATTTTTTGTTTAAATTGGATACTTTAATTATTTGTTGTATCTTTTGTCCTTCAAGGAATCATCTGCTGCAGTTTGCTTTAGAGTCACCACCCACCTCTCCGGTTTCCTTTTCATCAAAGAACCTTGGTAAAGTGCAGACTCCTATAGGCTCAACACAGTCTCTGAAGCTGGGAAGCAAGTTAATGGACAATTTATTGATCCGAGAAATTGGTGCCTCTACAACAGAGTTGTCAATAAGAGAAGACAAGAGTAAATTCAGTTATCAAAAAGAGGCAAGTGTTCCTCCAGAGAACACAGAGCCATCTTCCGTCAGAAAGACCACTCCAGGCCTCTTTGGTGTCAGTGCTCCTGAGACACCTTCTACATCTGCTTCAAAACAAGTTACTAAAGGTGAGGAAGTCTGTCCTCTGTGTATTTTTTTTAATGGAAGTGTTCTCAGCCCACAGAACAGAAGAATTAATGGACAACCATTTTTGAGGGCAAAGCAATGGGAAAGGGCAAACTAGAAGGAACCCAGAGATTCACTTAGGCTGTGCTTTTAGGCGTGTTTTTCTCTTTCTGTCTCACAGAATAGTAATTCTGGCTGATTGCTACAGAAATGAAGCAATTTTATTTCACACTTGAAGTATTGCATTAGTTTTCTACTTGTCAACTTTTAGTCCCCACTACCTACCTCATCCTGCATAGCATTTCAGTCTAGTCTCCAGGAGCTGCTTTTAACTTCCTGTGCCACTGCTTGAATGCCTCCAGTGGCTAACCAACGTGTTTTGAATAAAGTCCACACTGTTCTGCCAGGCATTTAAAGCTTTTGGCAGTTTGACTCCTACCTCATTTCTTACTTGTCCCTCTCCAAAAGGCATCTGCTCTAGCCCAGCCAGTCTTCCTGCTGTTCTTTCAATATACCCCAGGTATAGATATCTCCAGGTTTTTGCTTATGACGTTTAGACTTCCAGAACAGTTATTTTCCCCATCAGGGATTAGCAAACAATGATCCATGGGTGAGATCTGACTTGCCACCTAATTCTGTAAATCAGGGTTTACTGGAGCGAAGTCACTTCTATTTGTTAATGATTTTCTATGGCTGCTTTCCTGCTACAAGGGGAGAGTGCTGTGTGCTTTACGTAGACTCTGCCCGCATTAATGTATACACACATAGCATGCATAGTGTATACAGATCATACAAATGCATGTTATTTGTGTAAAAATATGGTAGTTGCATGAGAGACAATATGGCCGGCAAAGCCTAAAATATTTTCTATCTGCTCCTTGACTGCAAGTTGCCCTCAGGTGCAAGGTCTGCTAAGGCAAAGGCTGGTGGTTGGAGGCTGCCCAGCAACGTCATAGGAGTAAGACCTGGTGACTACCATCTATAAAGATTTCAGCTAAGCAAACCTGTGGGAAAGTTGTAGTCTGTCACATGTGTCACTAGGAGTCAAAAATGGACTTGTCATTGCATAACAAGAGCTGCAGCCTTTACTGAAAATACATTGCTGACCCTGTAGTACACCTTAACTTGATCCAGACCCGAACTATTCTTTGATTATGTTAAATAACATTTTTAATTGATGGTGTTTTCAGGACTATTTTGTGTGCCATTTGCTTAACTGTTTGATGCATGTGATCACTTGTTTCTGCATCTTGTTATACCAGTGATGTTCTGAGCACCTTTTAGGCAGAGACTATCTTTGGCATCTTCATTATACCAGTACCACGCATATGCCGGGCTTTAGTGTTTATTAAGCTCAGTTAGATCTGTTGTTATTGTTATATGCTGTGGAGTCACTTCCGACTCATAGCGACCCTGTACAGGGTTTCCGAGGCCGTAAATCTTTACAGGAGCAGAAAGCCTTTTTCTCCCGCAGAACAGCTGGTAGTTTCAAACTGCTGACCTTGCGGTTCGCAGCCCGGTTCATAACCGCTACGCTACCAGAGCTTATTTAAGCACACAAGTGTTTATATTCTATAAAGATACGTACATTTTACTTAAATTTCCTAGCGTGTGCCATCCTTGGTAGCTTTTTTATCAGTTGACAGTTCTTATTGTTGTTCTTAAGTGCCATCAAGTCGGTTCCAACCCATAGCAACCCTGTATAGGGTGTCCAAGGAGCAGCTGTTGAGCTTGAGCCACTGAACTTGCAGTTCAGATGACTTTGCAGTCTGGCGCATTAACCCACAAATTGTAGTTAACTTTTTTTCCTAGCAGAACCTGTTTTCAAATGAAATCTTACAGTGAATCATAACATAATAAAATTGGCTCTGCTCTCTTAAGAGCTGGAGATTTTTCTGTTCCACCTGACGTCTTTCGTCATTATTGTTGTTTGCTGTCATCAAGTCAGCACCCAGTTCATGGTGACCGCATGCAGGATGGGATTAGTCTTATGATCCATAGAATTTTCATTGGCTGATTTTGGGGAGTAGATTGTTAAGCTTTTCTTTCCGCTCTTTCTTAGTCTGGAAACTCCTCTAAAACCTGTTCAGCATCACAGCAACATGCTGTGATTCATACCAAGTCTCTTCCATGAAAGTCAAAAGTTCTAGTGCGGAACCACCACTGCCCCAGCCCCATTTTAGTCACTGCCTGCTCTCCGTGAGGGAATCCTAATGTGGCTCTGCGGATTAATGCGCTGGACTGCAAGGTCAGCGGTTCAAGCTCATCAGCTAAACAGGGTTACAGTGAGTTGGAACAGACTTGAAGGCACTTAACAACATAAGTTTTCCATGAGATACCTCCACAGATTCCTCCAGCTCTGTGAAACAGATTGAAAATGATTGCATGTTCTAACCCTAACATTCCATTTGTAATACATATGAGAGCTGAATTAATCAATTTGTAACAGAATTGAACAGTAGTACCTAATCCAATAAATGATTTAATTTAGCTGCATCTATTCTTCCCATTTCCCTCCACTCCAACCAAGTATAACTTTCTCAATTTGAAATTATTGCATCTGTGCTAAGTCATGGATGCTTGGGAAAATGTAAGATTAGTTTTATGGTCTGGGCCCAGCTTGGTAGAAAAATCTTAACCAAGGGATTTTTTGATAAATAAAATTCCCAATTTATTTGCAGTCATTCTCTCTGGGCTCAGGCTTCTAACTGTTTAGTCATCATTCAGTAACCAGGCTGTCCCACTTCCCACTCACATCTCCTTAAACGTACTCTTTTACCCACTTCTGCTTTTTTTAAGTGCATGTTAATGTTGGGAGGTTTTTTGTTTTTTTTTTTAATCTTACTTGTTAAAATATGCCAGTTTATATTATTTTGACCCTTTCTGTAAATAATAAAGTCTCTCTTTTTCTGAAAATTGCAGTGGATTGTCCTGTATGTGGGGTTAATATTTCAGAAAACCACATTAATAAGCACTTAGACAGCTGTTTATCACGTGACGAGAAGAAAGAAAGCCTCCGGAGGTAAGAAAGTTAAGCATACTCATTGGGCTGTGTGCCTCTTGCACTTTGTAGACTTGAAAATAGACCCAACATTTGTTTTATCCTGGTAACCAGCTGCCATGTTTCTTCTCTCCCTTGTTCTTCCCTTTACTCCTATTGGCCAACTCTTCTATTACCTCTGGTTCGTGTTCTCTCTCAATTCCCACTTTGCTAGATATCATTACCTGTATTGAATGTTTAAGCTGCTAATTAAGAAATTAGTGATTTAGAATTCAATTATTTTTAAACTTGTTTTCTTCTTTTAGAGCCACCTTAAAGCCCCTTGGTCAAAAGCAAGGAAGGCTAGACTTTGAATGTTGAATATATAAAAAAATCTTTCTTTGCTTCTTAAAAATGTCCAAAAGTTTATGATACTTAAAATCAATCTTTTCCAATAATTTAATTCTTTTTTTTTTTTAAACGTTTTTGTTGTGAATTGGGTGATAGTTTACATGGGAGAACATCAGCTTTACATTCATCTTATCGTATTTCATTTCACTGCAATGATTACAATCTCTTCCATGTGTCATCATTCAACATATTTGCTTCCATTCCCTCTGGTTTTTTTTTTTTTTGGATGTACACTGAAGTACTCAGGAATATACAACCATTCAAACAACCAAAACACAGCCTGCAAGCCTACCCCTTAGCCATCAGCATACAGCCCCTCTCCCTCTGAGTCCACAGAGTCCCCAGCTGCTCCATCTCTCCACATCATCATCTCTGCCTCCATCTCTGGTGTCACTGCTTCTCTGGATAGGGCCCTGTACTCCGCTCTTCTCCCAGATTCCTCTGCTCCTGGACTGCAAGATCGACCTCTCGCCTCCTCTTGTTACAAAACATCTACCTTTACGTTTGCAACACTCAAAATCAGTCCTGATAGCAGTTATTCACTATTGAACCAATTCATGTTTTTTTTTGATTAGGCTGTTGCATACATGTAATATGTTGTTGTTAAGTGCCCTAAAGTCGTTTCTGACTCATAGTGACCCTGTATAGGGTTTCCAAAGAGCAGCTGGTGGGTTTGAACTGCCGACCTTGCAGTTACTGTCCAGTGCTTATCCTACAGTGCCACACCAGAACTCCACCTGTGATATAAAAGGGTTCGAAAAGGATATGTATAAAATGTAATGTCCTCTTTGCTCCAAACCACTCAAATGTCATAGCTAATAAGTTGTCAGTTCAGTATTTCTACTGAAACTAATCTGCTATTCTGTCTTATACATGATAGTCACACTAATTTTGTAAATGAATGCACTGTTGTTATATGTATGTTTTTTAGAATTGAGAGTTTAGTCAGAGTTGAATTACAGAGTATTAACTAGTCAATGGTTAATGAAATAATAAGGCAGTGGAAGCTGGAAATTAGATGAGCCACGTGATTAAGTGTTTGGGAAAGGGAAGATTTGAAGTTTGGGTTATTTAAGCCTTCAGTCTCTTTCCTGTCACCATCTCTAGGGAAAGAGCGGGTGGTAAGTGAAAGGCGGTCAGGAGCACAGGAGATCCTGAGTTCAGTAATGAGGTTAACCTTGCCATGCAGAAAGGATCTTTATTGTGAGTTAGGAGTAAGGGGGAGACAATAGGTGATAATACAGAAAAGAATAGTGAGGAGGCAAGCTGTAGAAATTAATGGTACCTGGTAGGTGGGGATGAACAGAATGATTGGCTTTTATGTTTGACCAGTTTGAAGGACTTGGAAGAATATTTACCAAAAATCATATTAGTAGGTTTAGTATCATTGTTCTTTGTGATTAAAGATAAAAAGGCATCACTTAATTTTTATGAAATAGTCAAAGTGAATGCAGATTCTGAGGGACAAACTCATGCTATTATAATTTACTAAAGATAATATGTACAGGGAGGGGATTGTAACCTCTGAGATGAAACAAAGTGTATAATTTGTTGAATGTAAACGTGATGATTTTGTTTGTAAACCTTCACACAATTCACAATAAAAAGTAAAAAAAAAAAAAAAAAGGCTACTATGTAAAGCCCAGTGATAATTTTCACTAAGGGGTACACCTGAGTTGAAACTTGGCGCGAGTGTTTCACACAACGTACTGTCTCCTAGTAGATAAATTTGTTGATGAGAATAAATTCTGTATTTTTAGGCTGCTTAGTTAGTGGAGATTTGGAATAATTTTATAATCCCAAGGATTTTTTCTTATAAAACATGGTAGTCTGGTGACCTGATTTTCTCTTTAGAAATGTTTCTTCCTGAAGAATGAGTTGAGAGTATGGACGCTGTGCATAGTCTCTTGGAAGAGTAGAGTCAGCACTCATGAGCTTGCTTGGACTCCTCTATTCTAGATACATCCATCATATTTCTTCTAACACATTTAATTCTGTGTGGTTTCTCCCACAGATGGACTCATCTATGTGCTTAAGTTTAAATTTCAGTAACGATTCCCACATCTTGCATTATGGGATGCAGTAGTCCTGTCAGTTCTTCTGGAGGGCAACCAAGAAGTATGCTTGCTGTCTTGTTCTTAGGAAGAGCTGCACTCTACCAGCTAGTTCGATGTCCAGAAACCTTTTTTTTTGACCCTCATAACGTATTCACATCTTGGAAAACTAGTGTTTTTGAAGATACACTTTAGGGAGCACTGAGTGAGCTACATCCTGAACTCTGGTCACATAGATGAATCTTTGCCAGTTTTTAAATGTCCTGTTCAGCATCCTGATGGGACAACTCTTAGATGTGGATGACAACCCATTCTGTAGACGGATATCAGAGTCGATTTAAAGAGAATCCTATTTCTTTGGACATAATCAGAGTCCTTTCAATACTTTACTCAATTTCACCAACTGGAGAAATGTTTATCAGGCATAAATTCTTGATGGAACTTGTTGATCTCCAGTGACTGTCTCCCTTGTAAATGCCAGTGAACATTACAGTTTTTCATTAGAATTTCACAGTCATAAATTCAATCATCTAACCCTGATAAAATAAATGCTTTAGATATGAACTTAATGAATTTCCCCTCACTGTGTTTATATAACCTCCTACAAAATGATTCAGCTGTTGCTACTGATTTTCTTTTACCATAATTTTTATCAGTCTTGTAGAATCCACTGAACTGTTATAAGAAGAACAATATTCAGAAAAAATGTAATCTGCTGAGGGGTTGTAAGTCTTTCCACACTTAGTTATCTCTTGACTTTTAGACTTTTTCAACAGAGCATAAAAATATTAATTTAGCAAGGGACAAACGGACCTTTAGACTGTTTGCATTAGATTTACTCTGAGGAACCTTGCTAAGAATACTGATTTTAGGTCTCCAGATTCAAAGCTGAATTTGTAGGTGGTGTGGGAAAGGAGTTTGAGAATCTGCACAATTCTCTAGATGATTCTAAGGTACACTAAAGTTTGGGAAACCCAACCTTGTGTGAATTAGGTATACACGTCCTTTGTAAACTCTTACTTTTTGGATAGATCTTTTAGTGTCAAATTCCTACCAATTTCCATATGATTGGAATTGTAATAACCACCTTGAATATTTATTAAACACTTAGTTGTCATAGTGCTGAGTTAGGCATTGCAATCAGAGAACCATGCTAGAATCAGATTAGGTAGGTTGGGGAGTTCCTGTTTAGAAAATGGTCTCAAGTCACTGGTGCTTTCAGGTAGCTTGAATTCTATGCTGTTTTAAGAAGCAATGTTTATTTCTTTCATGGAGGAAGTACAAAGTTAATTAACATGGCTTCATTATATTTAAAATTGTGGCTCAAGGCTTAGCACTGTTTTAATTATGTAGTAGAATTAAAAGTCAGGTGGTGATTTTGCTGATAAACTTTTTGTATATATATTTATGCCACACATTACTGAAATTGAGTAAAACTTGTGTCTTTTATTGCTTTCAGTTCTGTCCTTTGAAGATGATACCACAAAAATACTACTTACCCACTTACTTTTTTTTTTTAAGGTTTTTATTGTGGATTGAGTGAAAGTTTACAGGGCAGATCATCAGTTTTACATTCAACAAATCATATACCTTGTTTCATTACAATGATTATAATCCCCTCCATGTACCATCAGTTAACAGTATTTCTATTCACTTTACTTCTTTTTTTTTTTTAAACACATAGGCATATATAATAATTTACACCAAAAAGCACATTCTGCAAGTCTGCCTCCTGGCTGCCCTCTCTTAGTCCCTCTCTTCTCATGAGCCCAGAGTCCTCAGCTGTTCCCTCTCTCTATATCCTCGCCTCTGCTTCCATCTCTGGGGTTGCTGCTTCTCTGGATAAGGTTTCACATTCCACTTATGCTCTTATCCCTTGATGATCCTAGTGTCCTTTGTTTCTGGACTGTAAGATTAACTACTCCCCCTTTTTGTTAAAAAAAACTTCTACCTTTACAATTGTGACAGTCACAATTAGTGATGATAACAATTACTCATTATTGAGTCATAAGAATCTTATCCCCATCTCTTAACCAGACACATGCTAGACAAGATGAAAACTATTCAGTGGGGACTCTTTCTTCCCCCACACACTGTTAAACTAAACACCCCTTGAAACTTTGTAAGCCAGTCACTTCATGCCTTTATCACCCCCTCATTTTAGGTAAACGATATCTAAGTTGCCCATCCCTATCTACCCTGTGTACAGAAAGGATAGGATTAATACTTGATGTGAAGACTCCTTCCCTCTCTATTGGTATTTAGAGTTACTACTTCCATGAGTATAGGTCAAGTTCACCAAATTGTAGCAATAGAGCCGCATTTCCTTTATCAAATATTGTTATGTTCTTTTTAATTTTCTTTGAGTCGAGTTCTGATTATCAAGCCATTGAGGCTAGATCAAATGGGCACTATCTGCAAGTTTGGGCATTCTTGTGTGTCTCCCTTCACTTCTTATCAGCTGGATGCTTAACTGTCAGCTATAGCTCTCTGTGGCTATGTTCTTTCCATAGGCTCAGGTGTCCCCAGGTCTCACCATACTTTGGACCACCCGACCCTTCCTCTTTCTCTCATCTCCAGGTCAACGGGAGTCTATGGAACGTGGTTGAACTCAGCCCATTTCTTCATTGCTGCCTTTCCCCCTCTTCCACTCACCAGTAGATCAATGTGGTCATCAGCAAGCTTACATGCCCGTTCATGTGTTCCCTTTGAGTTTCAGTCTTACAGTGTGTTTGTCCTGAAGGAACTTGATGGCTTCTCAGCGAACAACTTGTTTATTGTTGTAGTAGTCAGTCATACTGTTATTTTTGTTTTGGGTTTTTCCTGATGATCTTTCTTTGAAGATGTATCTTCTGT